ATTTTATTTATTATTATTATCATACCAGTTAGTTAGTTAGTTAGTTAGTTACTTAGAGGCCTATTTTTCCCTTCACTTGAAAGGAGGCTGGGGTGTCTCCCAATGGCTGAGAAATGCAGGAAGGCAGCAAAAGCACCAGACATTGAACTACTTCCCCCAACTCTCTTTGGGCAAAATTAAGCAGATTTGCTACAAACGTATGTAAACACAAGTCAAGCATTAATTAAAAAAAAAAAACAGTTTCAAAGAAACCAAAAATTTGGGGGTGACACAATACTGACTGTATATGAGCGGACTGCCAATTTTAAAGGGGCAAAACAATATGATATGTTAATAGATGTAATAAAAATCCTTTCCTGTTAAAAACCTGCTAGAAAGATGCAGGTATGCCTATTGTGTTCCTGGCACGCTGTACTCTCAGCGACGGTTCTCTCAGGGAGAGCAAGAGGAATAATTTCTTTCTTTTTATTTTTCAATAAACACAGTGCAAACAGGCTGGATTCATAACACTCCCTGCTTGCAGATATCAATAGCTAGGCTAGCCTTTCTCCTGCATCTCACAGCCCAGATTTAACTCCAAGGTCACTTGTAATGGTTTTTAACAATATTTCACAGTCCTCTGCTCCTTTACTCGAGCTTGTCCGGTTGAGCTCAGTCCCGCTTTCTCATCAGCCACTGCTTCTGTTCCTGCTCTTCCCAGCAATTTTGGCCACAGAGAACCCACGGCCCCGCTCAGTCGTTCGCCTTTGTGGGAGACTGCTCAAGCTGAAGCAGTACAGGGCAGCACAAGCCACTGGCACTTTCTATAGCCAGACTAAGAAAAAAGAGCTTTGGAAATCTTGTGAGGACGCTTTAAAATCCCATCCCAGGGGCCAGACCTCCTGTGCCAAGGAAGAACACGAGTCATGCAAGCTTTGATTTTGAAATGCTACTGCACGTAGCGTCTTTCATTTGTGGGGCACGCTGTTAACAAAGGCATTTTCTAATTATTGTGAGGCAAAACATGTCATAATTTAGACCTTAAAGGAGATCCCTGTACCAGTAAATAACTGGGGAGGTGGATTGGCCACTCATAATCTCTCAACTGGGATTGGAGTTAATCTAGGTTTTGGTCTGACCAATGCACTTAGCACAGATAATCCCTGTTGTTGTAAAGAGCTAAGTTTGGTATCTCCCATTAAACAGTTGGGAGCAGATGACTAAAGGGTTTTTAGGTCATTGAAAGTCTCTCCCGGAGATACCCATGAATTCTGTGCAAAGCATTTTAACATGTTTCCTATGGGACCGTTTGCTTTGCTGCAGACAGAAGAAAAAGCCCTGACCTTTCTGTATTACCTGGACTGCCTTGGGGGTACTTTCTGTAAAATGAAGCCCTAGCTTTTCATCACAACCTGGCAGCACACACCGGTGTCCTCAGACGCATTCACAATTCCCAGCAGCATCAGCCGATGTAGCTAGCATCAAAATGAAGCCCACAGACTTCAACCATGTTTCTAGGCTCTCATCAGAAAATCAGAGTAGAGGATAGCATCTTTCAGAGTAGAAACACCTACCTATCATCTGAGCAATCGTCTTCTCATATTCTGAAACTATTTTCCTATAAGAGGGAAAAAAAAGAAAAGCTTTTGGCAAACATCATAATTGCTAATGCCTACTTAGAAAATAATGCTACTCAGTAACTGAACTATGGTATTTTAAAAGAGATGCAGAACCCTTCACACTTTTATATGATCCTTATTACCTGAGTAACAAATAAAATTGACAGTTTAAACATTGCACCTGATTTTTAATTCTCCAGGTAAATCAATATAGGTGGAGGGAGGGAAAGGGATTGCTTTGAAACAAATTCTGTTATCTGAAACATGCCCAAAGTACATTACCAATCATGATTTAAATATAAACATAATCACACTGGTCTGGTTCAAGAGTTATAAAGAGTTTGAGTTTTCCATTACTTTCTCCCCTCTTCTCCATGTTTGTGTTTGCTTATTTTTAATGTAAACGTTAAGTAAAGTTATAATTGGTAGCAAGTAAACCTAACAGGAATATAGTTGGCCCTCATCCAAAATATATCTCATCTTCAACTCTCCAAATCTGACTAAATGATCCTTTAGCACTTAAGATAACAAGACCAAAATATTCAATTATATAGCATAAAATCCATCGTGTCCTATTTTTCAAATCTGTTTTTGAAACAGAGGTGGCAAAATGTTACTTTTAAGACTATTTTATTTCATATACTCACAGTTGGCTTTGAATTTCCTTCTTGAAAAGAGGTTAGCCAAAATAAGCAGATTAAATGTGATTTAGAAAGATGATCCATCCCTTCCCAGAGCCAAATAAAGCTAATGAAATGAGACTAGCTTGATCTGTGCTTTGATTCATGAGCCACGTAGGACTGTCTACGAAAAACAAAATTACCCCACACTTCATCTGAAGTGGATATTCAAAATAGCTCACTGGTATTTGAATACATCTCTTTTGAAGTTTTAGCTCACTCTCACTTGCTCCATTTTAGAGAAGTCTGCTGCAGTTGGTGAGGTTACAGAAAGGATGTGGGAAAATGCTGAGACAAAAGTCAGTAAGGAAAGGAGAAACTTGCGGAGCTCTCAAAAAACTAATGCAGTAACTCCAGTACCGCCTGTCTCAAATCTGAATCCCAGACAGAGCCTAGAAACTCCTGAGAAGGCCACTTGCCCCAGGCTTCAGGCAGAAACAATTTTCGGTACTGGGGCCAGAGCCCAGCTCTGTGCAGCTTGCCGTGCCTCCAGCCCCTGCCTCCACTGGGATCTGCTCCGATACTGCTTTCCCTGCTGTCAGTCCTGTTGTTTTAATTGGCTTTTTCCTTTTTCTTTTCTTTTATTTTTTTTTAACCATAAATGACACTTTTGAGAGCAAATATAGCTGCAAGGATTTTCCCCTAAAAGGAAGAGATTGGTTTCATGTCCAAAGAAGATTACCTCAAAAGCCTGCTGTAAGCAATAAGGATTTTAAAGCCATGTTATTTCCTTGTAACACCAGGCACCTTTAGGAAGTTTTATCATCCTAGAAAATGAAGCCAAGGACTCAGGGCAATGAACACGACATTAAACACTATTATGACGCTACAGCACTTCCCAGCCTAGGCTGCACCACAGAAGCTGGCACCAAAGTGAAATAACATTATCTATTTCTTCTTTTTTCCAGCTTATACTAGTTCAAGTAGGTACCACATTCTCTGCATTATCCAGCCTTATGAATCATGTGGCAGCTGTTCAAATAGAAGTGAATACTGTAGTGGTACATCAATTTTAATAATATTTGATTTGGAAAGCAAGGTAGTCAAGTGAAGTCTTGTTCCAGATTCATGTCAAAGGCCTCTTTCAGTCAAGCAGCCTAAATAATGGTCATTATAGCTGGGGAACCAAAGGATGCTGGACACATCCTTCCTCTCTGTGATGGTACATCTTAGGCCTAGCTTGACATATTTTAGATACTCAGTCTATTTATTGACTTCCTGCAATTTCATAAGTCATAAAAACACCAAAATCCAGGGCTACAAAGGATCTCAGAGGTCATCTGCTTGACTTCTCTTACTGAGGCATAATCAATTAGACCCCCAAATAACCATACCTAAGTATTTCTTGCGTGCCTCTGCTTGTACCCTTGAATTACAGTATAGCCCACTCTGGTTTAGCTCTTTGATAGTTATTACATTATTACAACTTCTCATCTTGGCTACTGTTCTCTGGAGTGGAATTTCCCCCAGTCTGACATTTTTCTGGAAACTTAGCTGAACTCAGGATATTCCAAGTAGAGTATGTAGGATTTGGGTAAAGGAACATTGCTTTTCCTGCTGTGGAAAGTGATGCTTCTGTGCTTGCTACTCTAGATAATCCCTTCACTCCTTGCTTATCATTATGTCATATCTAATTGCTGCATCTCTAATTTACCACATAAGGACTGTTTCAATGTTTAATCTTCCAAGAGAAATCTTTCTTTGTGAGCACATGCATATTTTATAATTTTGTGACAATATTAGTCAGATTTTTTTTTCACCCATGTGTTCAAAGGATGTGCCTGTGGGAAATTTGGCTTAGATAACTGGTTTTTTCAAATCAAATTTTATTGAGGGTGTAGACACACAAGCAAATTACTGTGAGGAAGACGAAGGTACAAATCTACAGTGCGCCAGCCGCTCTGTGTCACCCCCTGCTCTCCTTTCACTAAGGAATAAGCAACCTCTGTCAGTGCCCACTTGCAGCTGGCAGGCGCGTGCACCCAGGCAGTTTCCAGAGATCAGACCAAGCACCGCACTTCAGCATGTGCTGAACGCTGAGACTTTCCTTACACAATTCCTAATTTTGTTCATCCCTTGTTTTGCTTCCTTGGTTTGACTGCTTGCAGCAGCTCCTTTCCCTTTTGCCTCATTATGCATTTGAGGGCTCTGCCAGGGTTCTGTTTCCTTTCCAAGCAGGGCGCAAGAGAGGTGAGAGAACTCAGCTGGGTGCTGGGAGATGGTTTTCTGAAAGAAATAAAGCGGCTGCCCTTGCCTTTTGCAGAGGCTTCTCTTAAGATGCTTTGGCTCAAAGCCCTGTGCTGCTGCTATTCAAATCTGCCATGTGCGACTCCTGGCATCCACGCGAGTGTTTGCAGAGTTCTGCACCACAGTTCCCTTTTCCCCTTACTCCCTAAGTACAGTTTTCCTGGATGTAAGCAGGAATTGCATATGCAGGTCATCACTTGATACACCTCATTGGCTTTAGCTTTAAACCACTAAGACATTTAATTCTGGGAAGAAGCTGGTGCTAGAATAAAAGTGAATTTGAAGAAAATTCAGACTTAGAAGTGATTGCACAAATTATTACTTAAAAGAAGGATGCTAAAATAATCTCTCAGTTTCCTTTTATTTATGAGTTAAGGGAGGGGATGGTTTCTCTGTTTGTTTGAAGGCAGAAAATAATAGGCTTTAAAGCCTCCAAAATATGTTTTTATACATTCTCTTCTGCAGTTGATGACTTTCTCACATTCAGATCGATGAGTAGGTCAAGCTCATTGGTATGTCGTTCTTACAGTACTACCACTGTAAAAAAAGAAAGGCTGAAACTTTCAACTGACTAAATGGGAAGGAATAGTGATTCTTTGAGCAACACAGCTCACCTCATCCGCTACAGTGATTTTGTTGTCACCCTTACAAGTGGTAGGACCAGGGCTGGGAAGGAAGGTCAGACCAGTTATGTTCCAGTATACAGATATTTAACGTCATAAAGGCAGGTTTGCAAGGAGAAATAGAATGTAATAAATACAACCAGAATAAACTGAAAAGCTCAGGGTCCTTCTGTGAGCTCTCAAATGGAGCAGCAAAATCCAAGATAATAATTGCTTAACTAAAATCAAGCTTACTGTGTGCAGTAATTAAAAAATCAGCTCGGTTCAGAGAAAAGGGCATAGAATCTCCTTGAAAATCAACATTTAAGAGGCCAGAGTGGTTCTTTTGCATGAAATGTTTTTCTACTAGCAACTGGGTTTTTGGTTTCTATTGTTAAAGAAACTTTTCACAATAATGTCCTGGAGGGAGCCTGTACTACGCATACCTATCTGCAAACCTTCACATTCTTTCTTCTGTTGGCAAAACTATTTGTGGGGAGTGAATTTTAAATTTGGATGAGCATACCTCTGCCAGCTCTGCAGGCAGACTCATCCAGTCAGGCAACAGAAACGTTACTATGCAATCCACGTGAGAATTCACAGCACAAACTGTAGGAAATTCCTCCCTTACATTAACATAGATTAAAACCTCTCTTATCTCAGTATTTTGAGGATGTAGATAAGATTAACAACATAGAAGTTTTCAGTGATTACCCTGAACAGGGGTGCCTACCATGCAGAGCAAAGACAAAGTATCAGTTTAGGATCAATACAAAACCTGCAGTTAAAAATAACAAAACAAATTCAGGTAACCAAACCGGTTGTACAGTCATGGTACTCTGTGTACTATCCACAGGTTGACATGAGACTCTCAGTGCGATTAGTGACAAGTTAATAACCCACCTCATTTCCATCACTTCCCTTCTGCTTTCTTCATATTTCTCTTTCCACTCAGATACTTCTCTTTCCTTGGCCACAATCTGAAACAAAGAAAGCAAAGGAAAAAACCCAAACAACAGTAAAACCAAGTGATCTATTAAAGAGGAAATTAAATAACTGTACAATATTTGATTTAATATCAAATTCTCATTAACAGAGGTATAGTTTTCAAGTGCTTAATGGGTTCAAATGTACGCATCCCCAGTGATTTTTTTCAGACTGCAAGGTGCAATTAAAAAAGTTTGGATGAGAAATCATACTCAAGTTTTGCAAAACTAACAGGAAAGCAGGTGCAATGTTCTTGTTTCATGTTTCATTCCTGATGATAACAAGGCAACTTTTCAAGAAATACTATATTACACTGTACTGTGCCTCATTTGACCCGGTGCCAAGCCTGAAATACTTCAGTACACGGGTTTGGTCCACTGGTTTGTCCTCTAAGGGGGTTCTACTGCTTCTGCATGCATATTGACAGCTGACTGTCCATGACATTTTATACCCAAAGGATTGTGTTCCTTTGGGGTCCTTTCATTCACACAATCTATCATGAAGTTTGGAATACTCTAACACTAGATTATACCCATTTTTTAATTGTTATTATTAGTCAGATTAATCTTATCTGTAGCTTTGCAAAATACATAATTTTACTCCTATTTCTAGCATCTTACAGTTTTTATAGAATTATATAGCAATGTCAAGATGCACGGAATACACTTGAGGTTAAAAACAATACAGATGTATTTTCATATAATGTCTGCTTTTCACTTATCTCAAAAAAATGTAAAACTTAAGAGTGTAGTGCCGATTGCTTTGGTAGCCTCTAGTATGGCTTTAGCATGGCTGAGAATGGTTTCAAGAATGGAACAAGTGTTTGTAATATGAACCATTTGGGAGAAAACAGGAAAGAAGAAAACCACAAGGGGCACATATTTCCTTTTCCAAATTCTGAAGAAAATTACCTCTGTTCTGGCAAGTCGTAGTGCAGAGTCTAAGTCTTGCTGGGAGTAGAGAAGACCTGTGGTGCTTTCTGCATCCGAGGTGCCGATCCGGGAGTACAGTGCACTTTTAGAGATGGAAACATCTGCTGGGATAGCAGGTTCTCTCTGTGTGTTTGTTTTTTTAAATACAAAGAAATGAACCATTAAATAGGTGTTTAGCTCATATGTTTTCTGGGTATAGTGCTAGGCACCAGGGCCCCGAGCTAGGACTAGAATCCTGTGCACTGCTGAATTATAACAGCAATAACACTGACAAGGAACTTTGAATTTGGCAACCAAAAAATATACATTTAAGATCCACGGTAAGCACCAAGAGAGCCATATTACACTCATAAAGAGAAAATAAAGACAGCACTTTGCCACCAATATTTTAAGGTCTTCTATCAGAAAATTTATTACTTTCTGACACAGAAATTTCATCAAAACATCCACAAGAAATGCACATCAGCAGAGGAAATTAGAATTGGAGGCAGAGAGCTTGTTAAAGGGAATTCTGCTTCCATAAAAGTAGATCAAGAAACGAGAAGCAAGAGGACAGCTCACTTTCTTAGGTCTAACCTGCCAATATACTGTATAAATGGTATCACATAAAAAGTGTGAATATACAAGTGACGTTGCTGCTCCACTGATATTTAGCATGCGATTAGTAAGTTAAATGAGGTTTTATTTGCAGCTGCCAATTTTGCTCATGTCAGTGGCCCAGATTATCGCAGGAGGAGAGCAGCTCATGAAATGAGGAAGGGAGCAAAAAAGAGGCATGTGACACTGAGATGTATGAGATGTCTTGCAAACAACTCTAGATACAAACAATCCAAGTTACAGCACATTAAAACCAAGGAGATTATAAAAGACAGTTAGGAAGACACTAAACAAAAAAACCCTCACATTTTTAGACACCATCTGTAGCAAACCCCTGAGAGCAGGCCCCTCTGCAGCAGATACATCACCACAGCGATATGTCCCTCTGTCCCCTACCTACGCTTTGCATCTCGCCGTCAACCAGCTAACACACACGTGCTGACCACCTGGCTGGGTCTTGCCTCTTGTGGTCTGGGAAACAAAATGTTCTTTCTCTCACTTGCCAAGCCAGTGTCAAAACTTCATTTTAAAATACAGAATGATTTTTTGTTTGGTTGGTTGGTTGGTTTTTTAATTTAACATGTATATTCAGTAGCAGAATTTTTCAGTGGCTTCTCATGACAATTAAAATTGTCTCTATGACGATGCTACATGTGGCCACAGACAGGGCTGGACCATGGCCCACAGTTTGTGCAGGTGAGGAGGGAAGTCAGGTTGATCAATGCCTTTTTCCAACCACTGATGGAAACGGATATTCATAATCAGCTTTTCTGGTACAGCACTTCCTTGCTGCTGAAAAGGGGATAATGTATTTTGCCAGTTTCCTTGTTACCTTTGTGCATAAAGCAATATATTCTGTTCCTTCAAATTCACTAATGCAGTACCTTAGTCTTTAGGCTTTATCTGCGATAATTAAGAGTAGTAATCAAGATTTTTTAATGACTTTTTTATATAAAAAAGAGAAAAAGATTTTATTTTATTGTAAAAGAAGATTGGGGGTTTTTTTTTTAATTTGTTTGTTTTGTTGGTTTTTTTTAATAGCCGAGTCATATTCTACTACTTGAAGCACAGGAATGTGAAAGTGAGTAGATAATGTCTGAATCAAGGTTCAGTCCTCCTCTCCACAACGTGCACACAAATAGACTTCATTAATTTCAACACCACGTGTTTCAACACAGTTAAAAGAAACTTTATCAGATGCTATTCCATAAATCATCCACTTGCTCACAGTTCTTCTCACATAGCCTAGAGTAACAGAAAGGATCCAAACCCACTGTTAATTTTGCTGCAATTCCTTCTGACTTCTCACATTGCACCTTATTGAAGAAGTTATATTAAAAATTACATATAATGCTCACTTGAGATAAACACAGGACTAGATGTTCTGGTTATCATGCAACATTAAAAGACTAGGCAAGAAAATTTAATTAGAGCAAGAATAAGCTAAACTGTACTTACAAAACATCATACTGCATCTTTATTTATACAAGAGACTCTCACTAATCTGCTTTGTACTTTTTGTTCATTTTTAAACACAGAAGTCAATTGACTGTTAGTTCTAGCATTTATGGAGAAGGCTATCCCCGCTCTTTTTTGCTACATTTAACCATGAACACACAAAATAATGGTCAATTCCAATACAATTAGGAGGACCAATCTCAAATGTGGTGGATTTTCCTACCTGAGCAAAAAGCATCACAAGATCTATCAAAATTACATAGCTTGTTTTCTTGAAAGGATCTCCCAATACACAAGGACCATGCAGGAAAAAATACATCTGGGACACAATCTCAGACCTCTATGCAAATGCTTAAATACTAAAGCACATAGTGCTGTCCACAGATCTGAGTTAAGGTAAAACAGTCAATAAAGCTGCTGCTGGCTCAACTCAGTATCCCAACTTCAAAAAAAATGTACTTTAGTTTCTCCTCAAAGACAAGGCAAGAATAACTGAGAGATAAAAAAGAACCATTAGATCATCAAGGCTGTCCTCATAAGAAAGGCCATCCTGAAGATCAATCTGTTGAACTGTATATATCAGATTTCAAAAGCCTCCTGCAGCTTAATTTGCTGGATGTCATAAAGAGGATGCTGGAAAATATTAATTGTGGCAAAAGAAACACAAATTTCCTCAAGCTCATATAAAAACATGTCAAAGTAACTGCCAGGATGATGAAAATTCTTAAAGAGAAAAGAGTATTTAAAGCATTTAATACATACTTATGCTTATTTTTTTAAATAGTGCTCAACATCTCACTGATACAGTGTTTTCTCTAGGGCTCTCTTGCATTTGAGTAAATTGTACGAAAGAACAGTAATAATGACATTCCAAAAATGACTTTAAAAACTCTTGGAATTTAACCATTGAGCCGAAATGCTAGTGGTAGTGGTCTGACCAGCGTTGTCCTAACTCGGAAACACTTCACACAAGTCACAACTGGGCTCTTTGGCAGGAGCAACCAGTAAAAGTCCTCATGGTTTTACTTCAAAAGTCAATCTTACACAGCTCCAAACTGATGCACAATTCAGTAACTGTTATTTGCTGCCTCCAAATATTCCTGTCCTGAGAAAACAGTATAACCTGACCAAGAGGATGATGGTATTACCCAAAATAACCCTGTCAATGCTTTCAGTTCAACATCTAATTGCTAAGAAGGTAAGCAGTTAATTGGGGTAATAATAAGCGTAGAGATTTGTAAGTCACTGAACCTCACACAGAACGATTAGAGTCTGCAGGGGAATTGCTACTAAATGTAGGTCACTGCAATCTTAGTGTAAATATTTGAGAGCCCAACGCACTTCCTCATCTCCTCCCAGCATCTTTCACAGAAACCAGATACCTGACCAGAAAGGGAATAAATGCACATCGATTAACCAGCTGCAGTTATCTCAATTCAAGAAGGTCGAAGTGAAAGAAAATAGAGAAAGGCACTGGAATGAAAATAAAAATTAGTTTTTATCATACTGTTTAGAGGAATATGTATTTAGCCCTGCTGAAAATTACCTTGCCCTTTACAAGCACTCAAATACTGCTTGGGTGCGTTATCAAATGATCTACTCTTTTAACTAATTGATGTGTGTGCAGAGAGGTCAATGGAGGCAAAACAAGACCTATTCGTGCTTGCAAATATACTGAAAAGCAAGTAAAATCCAAGCATAAGTTCTCTGCTTGTAAAGTTTTACCAGAAAAAATAGTATCCCTCTTTGAAGGATTCCTCCTTCACTACCATGAGAGCACCCCAAAGCCGTGATGCACTAATTCCATTTGTGCCAACGCCTTTCCTTTCAGTTTCTCTTCTTTCCTTGGATCTCATTTCAACACCCAACTCTGTATCACCTCAGCATCTGTAGGGTGGTGGACACAAACCCTATCAGCTTTCTGTTCAAGTTGCACCTATAAAAAAAATGGCCAAAGGACATCCTAATGGAGACTGTTTAATAGAGAAGTGTTAATTCATCTCAACGCTGGAAGATAGAAATCTTTGGCAATGTAAAAGTAGATGACTAGTCCTGCTGTTACTGAAGTCTCTGTCAAGAAGTTTGGGAGTGGCCAAATAACTTCCCTCTGTCTGAGAACAACAAACTGCACATCCTTTTTCTCAGTCCTAGTCCTAGCAGAAAATGCTTGTATTTAATCTTTATTAAGATTAGGTGACCTAATTTGCCATAACAAGTGCTTTTGTCTTTATTTAGCATTCTGTTTGTGTCACCCATCCTGTAACGGTTTATCAAACGTTAAATTTAAATATACAACATTAAGAAAAACACTGAGACCAGCCAACCAGAAGGGAATTCTGCCAGTTAGCATCCAAATTTAAGTCACTGCAGTCATCTGGTGGATTCTATTACACTTAATCCAGGCCATCAGTCACTGCAGGTCACAAGGGTTGTCATCATAGGCTAATTTAACATTAGCAACCTCCCACTGAAATAGTAATGTTATGCAAGGACAAAAGTCCTTCCCAGCCTAACATGACACCCACAGTATTCGGCTAAAAGCATTCCTATGCCTGGACCAACACATGGCTTTGTGAACATCAAACTGCTACCAATACTCTGTCAGAGGGTGGAGTTTTGCTTATTTTTCTCTCCTCATCTCTGCTATTTGTTTTTGCTATCTTTGTTACACAGATTAATGGCATCTCCTAAAAAATCACATGAAATCCATTCCCCATTTCTAAGTTTTAAGAAGTTCATAAATTTGTTCTAGAAAATGCTGTAATGGTGTTAAAAAGCATCTGTAAAATATAACCCCACGTAATCAAATACATACCACAACATTTTTGCTGCTCAGAATCTTCCCTGAGTAACACACAAGAATTCACAAACGTACAAACCTACTCTCTTCAGTCTGAAATTGTACAATTTGTGATTTTCTGAATTGCTAGCCAGTAGCAAAAATGCAGATGTCTAACAGAAGTTTTCTGCCTAACCTGGGAAGAGCATCTAGGTATTATTATGTGTTTTATCTTGAGTGTTTCCTGGTACTGGAGAGCCTGACTGCTGCATGTTACAGCAAAGTGCTGGGAGAACAAGGAGATAAAGAGAGAATGAGGTAGAGAGGATCTAGAGAGGATCCTACCTCACTCTCTTTTGACACCTACCACTTAGGGCAACAGAGCAAGGGGAGACAGGCACACAGAGGCTAGTACTCACACAAGAAAATGGTATTTATTTTTAGCTCCTTTGTTCTTTCCGTTCCTATTTAGAAGGTTAAGCTTGGTTTCTAATGAAGACAACAGCAGGTATTTCTTGATTACATAAAAGATTATAGCCACATACTTTAAAACACCCACAAATCTGCAAGGAATGAGTTTACTCTGGTAAGTATACGTGCACAATGGAAACAGCTGGCTTGAGCGTTATTTAAGGTAAGCAAAATAAATCAAATATAATTATTTTTTTCATGAAAGTACAGTTAATCTAAAAAGAAATCTTTACTTTTATGAACTAGCTACTTTATGACTGATCTTCAAAGCACCAAGAAATTCTACCCTATAACCAGCCCAAATCCTGTTATGATGCAATGAAATCAAGATGATATCGGATCGGGCAAAAGACATCCCACTGACTTATTAATGGACAGTATAAGAAGACAAAGGAGAAGGACATGTCAGAAGCACATTCTCCTCATTTGGCATAAAGATGTCTCACTGCAGCAGGACGCTGCCATCCCATCAACATCCCAGTCAGCTGATACCACCTCCCAAGAAAGCCACTAACATTTCTGGCTTGACTTTTTTGTTAAAAATACCGTGAAGAGAATCATAAACTGGCTGCGCAACTGGCTAACGACCAAAGTCAGTGCATCAGAGCAAGCTTTTCCATCCTGTTCCAAACACAGTGAGGACCACATGCATCCCTAGAGCATTGCAAAGCATCGCTCCGAGGCGGAACTAGCCAGCGCAACCTGGAAGTAGCAATAAAAAAAAGGTTTAGATCTTCATGAATAGAGACACATTGTGTTGGGAGGTCTTTTTGCCTTGGGAGCTCTATAGCCCTTCCAAACCTGTTGTAGTCCCTTTCTTCAGATGCCTGGAGGCAGGGTTGATTGAATTTCTCACTTCTAAACTCTGAGGGTTAAGCTGTCTGCTTTCAAGCTGAAAATAGCAACAAAAGAAAAAATGTCCCTACAGTCAAAATCTATAGCATCTTTGTAAGAAGTAGATTTGGTATTGTTTTTGCCATCAAACATTTTAGGACAAATCTTGCTGTAGACAAATGACAAACGGCCACCTGGATTGCAGAATCTATCTCTGCAAAAGTTATGTGCCTGCTTCTTGCCATCAAGTTTGCCTTTTGTTATTTTGGGTGTAGCAGTACTCTGTGAGTGGAGCAGGTGACAGCATTTCTGTGTGCAGTACTGCTTTCAGCATGCTCTTTGGTGTCACACTGAGGTGCACACAGCTTAGCACTGCACTCTGAGAGCCTTAGTTACCTTGTTAAAGAAAAAGCAGCACTCGGTTTCTTAGCCTGTGCACACTCACACACACGACAGGCACAAACCAGATACCTCGGAGCAGAAAGAAGACAGGGTAATCTGCCTGGCTAACTTCAGTGCTTCTATCCTCATTGCAGCAAACTCTAACTCCTCCTGTCAAGTGTTTGGTTGTGAGCAATCCACAGAAAGAAACGTATTAAGAACATAGCAAAAATGTTTAACACATTCAAAAACGGAATGCTATATGTTAACGTTTAATTCTGGGTGACAAACACATCCCATATTCCTTTCATGACTACAACATTGATACAAAATCCCATTTTTTTGTAAGGCAGCTGAACAGGGTGTAAGTATGAAAAAAGCTTTGGGTAAAATAAATGTTTTCCAAAGCTAAAGCTGTTTTTCATAGACTCCTCTCTTTTTCATTTTGTGTGAATTTATGCCGGTTGCTGCTTTCAATTCAACCTTTGCTGTTTTAAAATTTTACTACAAATATTCTAGAAAACATGTCCTGACATACAGAACTGGTCTGCAGATCAACTGGCTTTTCCTAGGAGAAGCCATGCCAAATTCTGCATTAGATAGATTACTTGAAAAACAAAGCCTGATTTTCATTTCAGCAGAATTAGGGCCTAAATCTCTGAAAATGAATCTGTGCATACAGACCTACTAAGGCCAGGTGTCAAGACAACTCTCCACACATCAAGTCCTGTGTTCAAGCTTAAAAGATTTCCTTTATAAAGACTTCTGAAAAATATATATGTTAGTGGTATAGGAGAGCTGAAAGTGCTGCCGAAATTTAAGTTTGTGTATTACATGGATTAAATTAAAATATCTCTGTTCCTTAAGTCCCTGAAAGGCCAAAGATACTTTGGAAAGAATCAAAACATTACTTTGATTCTTTCCTACCTTCCCTCCAAGCCTCCCCCCACCCCTTTCAGATGAGACAAAGCATTCCTCTACCTGTGTACAGACAAGCTTAAAGAAAAATTACATTTATACTTCTGCTACAAACCTGAAGTTTCTGAGCAAATACTGGGGGGTTCTTTTCTGCTAAGTCAGGATCTAGATATTCAGGCTGATCACATATTGAGGTTTTCTTAGATATCCTATTGAGAAGAGCATCAGCAGAGACAAAGGAGTCTTCAGGAGATGTCTGAAGGGTAAGGAGGATATAGAATAAGCAACAGAGATTTTGCCCAAGTAGTTCAGGCCAAAAGCAACATATATGTCTGCAGATCTTTGACTCCTAGTAATTTCATGCTCCACTGAAGATTATTTTTGAATACACGATTCATAGGTGTAACAGACAAACATCAAGAACAATTCTTCCTAATTTAAAATCTGAGGAAATTTTCCAAGACTTAACACGAAGTAAGTAATATTAGGACCTCTAAAGCAACGGCTCTCAAACCATGGACCACAGCCCACTCTCGATACTTCTACAATAGTTTCCAAACAGTCACCATAGGTTTTGTTCATGTAATAGCTTATGTTCAGTTCAGGCATCTCTGAAGTAGTCCAAAAGCTTTGAAGACCATCAAAAGTGAGGTGAACCTCAGCAAGACTCTTTTTGCAGTCTTTACAAAGTCTTTTGCTGCTTACTGGGGATAAACTAAGTTATGCTCACAATTATAATATGACCAGGATAAATACACACTGTGAGGGTAGACAGAATTAGAATGACAAAAACAAGACTGGGATTTGAGTATCCAAGACTCCCTGCAGTGAGAAAAGTATTCAAGCTCTTAAAAAATGCTTTGTGAGATGGTATTAACAGTATCGTTAATATAAATTACACACAGTATTAAAGTGTGCTGCTTCTTGTTTTGACTTCTCAATAAATATATTGTCATATAGCTTAGCATGCCTAGCACTGTAGGCATTTGTGAAACAAGTTTGCCTGGAAAAATGGAAGCCTTGAGGGAACCTTCATGAATTTGAGAACCAATGCTCTAAAGTCTGTACACAGCACAGGGTGGAAGCAAGGAAGGGCTCACCACTAATTCAAATCCAACCCAGAGAAGCCACTGAAAAAAGTGACTTAACTGGAAGCTGGAATGAGTTCTAATGATCAAAAAAGTGAATTTTACATTATCAGTATCAGATCACAACAATACAGTTAACAGATTATACAAAAATGTGAAAGGGCACCTGTTCTTTTGAAATTTCACATTACATGCAACAGAACAAATCATGTCTCTATGTTTATATCAAACCCCTTATTTTATACATAAAATATTTCTTCAAATATTAAAGCACAGTGTAAAAAGGCCTGTGTGAGGAAAAAAAACACTTTGAAGTATCAACTTGGAATAAGTTATGACAAGAACATTTTAAGCTACAGTAAGAATTCAGAAAATTCTTCCGAATTCTACCAGTTCCATCAACCTATCATCTCCCTCATTTGGGTCCTACCACATGCTGCTACCAAGATCTTGGTATCACAGATGATTTCTGTGGGAAAATGATTCCCAAACTCTTATCATAAATTACTTACTATTTCAAGAGCCTCTGGAGTCGTTCCTAGGGTCATGGGCTCTAGGTCTTTCTGCTTTGACTTGTCAGGTGACTGTAAGTGTGCCTCTTGGCTGGCAGCTAGGACTCGGGAAGCTGGATGTTGTATTTTCATTCCAGAGGATTGCTGGGCTTCAGGGTCTTCAAAACTTGACCTGGAAAAAGATTGCGTACATGATTTCAAGGTGGAGCATGAGGACCTTACAATTCTGCTTCTGGTAACAATGAAGCAAGTCCTCTTCATTACTTTCATGTATACACACACACACACACACACGCATTGTTTCAACTCAACTTTATATCATGGTATCTCATAACACTTTGCAATATGCTTTCAAACCAAGGCACCAGAGTCATCCAAATAGAGCAGTTCCAGCAGAAATGTCATGCGCGTTCCTTAAATATTTCTCACTTGCCTTTTTACCCCTTTCTCATTGTGACCTACATTTCTCCCAACAAACAACTTTTACTAACAAGAATAGATGTCCTTCACAGGCAAAATTTTTGGAAGTAAATACAACCCCCACATCCTGTCTTATGAACTAGACTCCTTGTTCAGAAAATATATCTAGGAAAGGCCAAGTGAAAAGTTGCAATTAGGAGATTTCTAGATTGACTTGAAAATGACCTCAGTATCTGAGAAAAAAACAGTAAGTAGGAAGCCATTGTCTAGTGAAACAGTTACCACTGTGACTCTATTTAGTAAGAATATGAAGAAGAAATATATGTCCTTATTCCTTCCCATTATAAAACTTCTGTATCTTTGCCCTCTATTCTCTATCATATGTGTACACAGATGGGAATCTATTTTTAAACAAACAACTCGGCAACACAGAGGCAGAGAGAGGAAGAATTGCCTGTGTGCTATGATGAAAACCCGTTTCCCTGGCATCCTTTTCCATTGCTGAATTTGCTCGCAGTGACATACCCTGAGCATGGTGTTGTGGAATCAGACAGTCTGATGGGAGGTGATTTGATTGGGCTCTCCTGCTGCGCATCAAACATTAGGTATAAAGATTGTTTCTTCGGGGTGCTATCATCCTGCTGGCAACAGGAAAAGAAAGACTTGTTAAGCAACTCAACTGTTCCCCATTAAAGCTAATTCAGGTCATTGAAGCCTTAAGTGACCAAATGACTTGACAGACAACTAATAATATAGGACTGTATTACAGTCTATGCTAACTGATACTGAGATGATCCCTTTAAGGAAGAAACCATTGAAGAACAAAACCTAAACAGTTCACTCTTTGTAATGGGTTTTCTTCCCCCACTTTGGGGTTAATCACATTTCTGGTCCTGTCAGGCAGGAGGCATTCCTTGACTGAAAGTGTTACTAAAACATTCATTGAAACTTCTCATCAGTTTAAGCACCTGACATATATGCTTGATTTTTCTAACCTCCCCAGTGGATATACCCCCATTGGATCTAGTCAAGCTATCAAATCCATGAATTGAATAGAAGTAAGGCAAAACAACTGACAATGCATGGTACTGCATTCCATATTTTACATTTATTCTGTATTCTCTCCTGATTCCCTCCGTCTTCTTAAAAGTTTTACTCTTAGTTTCTTAAAATAGTTCAACAGCTGGTGTAGACAGCTCCGTACTCTACACCACTAGAAACACTGATTTGCTTTTAATCTCCAGAAAGAACTACTATGTTGCTGGCTTAAAAATAAAACAATAAAATGGCACAAACTCTACAGCATATAGGACAACAAAGCACATGCAATTTACCCCAGTTAAGCCAATTTAAAGGAACTGGTTTTGCAAATGTGCTGCAGGCACATTATAATTAATTTAAGGTGTAGTGAGGCTGATGGCATTATCAGGATAGTATATTATGACAAGGGAATGCAAATGAATGGAAATGGAAGTGAGGACTTACAGGCACAGAAGAGCCTATTTTCTCCATATATTCTATTTCATATGAGTTGCCATATTCCAATTCTGCAACAGAAACAAAAAAGAGCCGTTAAATACATGCCATGAAATGACTTTTGCAGAAGTAAATGAGATCTCATTTACAAGGGCCACTCCCATTCTGCTCAATACTTTTCTATGAGGTATCAAAACCAGAACGTACAGGGAGAAAGCAGAAGGTGCACTGATTTTCAACAATGAACCTATGACACATTTCAGGCAAATTCATTTGCCTGAAACATTTCAGCTTTATTAATTTGCTGAAGATCCTGCCCCAGGGGCCAGAATATTAAGAAAGTTTCAGAGTGCTTTCAGAGCACAGATAACTTTCCTCTATCATGTTGTCTTATCACAGAAAACATATTTTTCAATAATCGGTAATGCTGATACGTACGCAAAAAGATTTTAAAAGCTGTTGAGAAATTAAGTAATATCTATTTCTTAATGTTTATCATACAATTCTTAATTAAGAAGGACTACTGTGGTACCACTTCAGATAAAAAGAAACGTAAAATATCTGTACGCTCATTGAACAAGGGGTGAGACAACAGCCCAGCTTAATGGGTTGTTTTCACATTTTAGTTTCAGAGGAAAAGCCTAAGGCAGGAAGATTTATGAAGAACCCTAAATCTAAACCCTAATAAAAATGCAAATCTTTACTGCTTCTCTACTTCTAATCTCCTAATTACACTGGAGGGAATAACCAGCATTACTTTCCAATCCATGGTCACCCAGTAGCTGATATAGAGGCGGACAGATAAAACACATCAAAATGGAAAAGAGAGCATACCTTCCTGTACCCAAATAAAAGCAAAGATTTTGTTCAATGACACCTTAATTTAAAAATTAAAAACATCATTAATTTGTCCTAATGCTGTATTTTACTCTGTTTCCATGGGTTAATTCAATAAACCACTTGTACAATTTAATTTCCATTATTGACAAGTTCTAATGAATGGTACATTAGTATTTACATTATGATAAAAGTATGTGCTAAAATTCTTCTAGATTTGGGCAGCTTTTGAAAAGTAGGGGTTGTATCAGGAAGACGGTAACCATCATTAAAACGTTTGCTCTTTAAAAACAAACCAACCCTAAAGACAATCTCTTACCTGTTTTGCTAAAAAAAAATAGTTTCAAAGGGTGCGATGTGAGTTTACAATGCTCAAAAATTTTTTATAATAAAAAGCACCATAGAGTACAAGCACTGTAGTTCCACAAGTCTGTGTATTTTGTCAAACGATCACTGAAGAGGAACAGTCACAAACTCGCAGTACCTGACTTGTGGGAGATATTAATAGTAAAATGTCTAAGTGAAGAGAATGCTGTAACAGCAGGCTCCTCACGTTAAAATTCCTAGCACCATATGTTTTTAATGGTAATAGGGAGCCAGGCAAGATGGACAACCTCCTGGTATCAGACACAAGCTTCTTCCTAGTGAAAGCAAAACCAAAACTGAAACGATGAGATTCAAACCACCTACTAGACACAGAATTGCAGGAGAAAGCATGAAATACTAGATAACAGCATCCAGTGTTTAGTAAATGCCTTTCTGTATTTCCTTTATCTACACGTAGCCCAATGAGGTGCATCATAAATGTTTCTGGGGCAGCTTTATGACCCCAGAGAGCAATCAGTGAGAGTACAAGCCTGCTCAGGGACAGGAGACGTACCGGCACTGTCCTCTGCTGGCACAGCCGGCAGTGATCTTCCATCTGCCTGCAGGGCTGGTAGAGCTTTGCAATCGCAATCCAAACTGACTTTTGGGACAACACGGATTTAACTTTACTGATTTAAAAAAGGCAGGACACAGATGGAAACACTTCAACTAGAAACAAAAGGAATAACATGGCTCGCTAAATGTCGTTTGTTTCTTCTCATTGCTCTCAGAAGTTTCCAGCATAATTAGACTCTCTCTCGTCTCCTAGGTATCTCCTCTAAGACATCATCTCCCCTCCAAAATATTAGGCTCCAGTTATCTCTATACGTTCAAAATTACAAATGCCCAGGATATCCCATGAAGTAAAATAATTATCTTTAAAAAATACATACAGCAGACTTACTAAGTGATGTCCTCCAACTCCTCCTACCAATAGCCGCAAGATTACATCAGAATTTTCTGCTTATAATTACTGCTTATTTCTGGTCTGTGCAACACAAAAATGGCAGCAGTTATAAGCAGCGCATGCAACAGATCAGAGCTGGACGTACTGGCTGACTCAGTAGTTGGGCTGTATCTGTACAAAAGCCGTGTTAAGTTACACGATAACACTCATACTAGTATCTGGGAGGGGTAAAAATATTTGCACTGAGAAACAGTCCTGGATTGACTCAAAAATTTCTCAACACTGCAGGACCAAGACTGTCAAGGGAAAAAAAAATATTATTTTTAAAAGATCTGAAAAGCGGAAGCATTGTTGATTATAATTAGCATGTAATCTGAAACTCCGACTATACCATGCAGCACACATGAGACAAGACAATTAGCATTTAATTAGGAGCTTTGCTCACTTTCTTCTACTTGCTTTGATAGCTAAAATGATTGCCTTAGAGTATCTCTCACTATTCTTTTGTTCCATTTCCTTCCATAGAATTTTCATTTTCTCAGATTTGGGGGGCTTATTTTCTGAAAAGTATTCCTTTAAGTTATTTTTTTTAATACAAATGAAGTGAAGCCAATGTCTAAAATTTATAATTTGACAATAAAGACAAATGGATTTATCCAGACTGAAATACTAATCTGTACGAAAGACTCAAGAGATTTCCAAAAAGCCCAGGCCATGCAAACATATAAGCACATGCATATGAACATGTGCAGTCCCATTAAAAACACTGTGATTATTTCTGCCTTTTAATGTCAAACATGTTTGACCTAAAAGCTCAGCAGTTCTTAATTAACTAGGCAAAAGCTCCTCAGACCCAGTCTAAAATGGCATAAAGTAGCTTTAATGGTAGATTGGGACATGTGTTGAAAGGTTAGGGAAAAAAAATAAATTGTGATCAAGAAGAAAAAGTTTATGCCGAGTTAAACTCGTACATTCTTCCCACCCACAAAGCTGAAAATCTGCCCTTGGAGCAGATGTTGCAAAGCAGTATTCCCTCTGGTAACCCCAAAGAAGGCCACACACAAATTTTCTAAATTCTGTCTCTTCCACATTTCACAGACTTGGAATGACAGTTCTCCTAACAGAAACTTCCAGCTTTAGCTCACAACTGCTTATAGGAAGGTATGACAGGAAAAATCTTAATAAGCTGATCTAGAAGGAAATTTTATCGGGCATGAGAATGAAAACCATCTTATGCAGGGGATATCCTGGACATTTTTATGCCTAAAGATGCCTGTATCCTAGGAACCTGGAAGGGAGATGGCATATTAAGGGTCTTAATGCAACATGCAAACTTTGAGCAGAATTTTAACCTGGGTCGTTCTCCCATTCAGGGTAGAGGAACAGGCTCAGGCAAAATCAGTAGTTCAGTGACTCTGGATCCAAGAGCACTAACCGGGAGCAGTATCAGACCCGTCTCCAGTGAGTAAACAGGTAGCACACACAGAAGAATAGAGCATGTCTACAATTAACCATACAAAGGAAGTAAAAGCCTTTCTCTGAAGGCCCCGTTCATTTTCCTTGAAGACTCAGTGTTGGACTATTGGGGTCTTACAACCAGCTCCCCATAATTGCCAAGTTCCCCAGACTGGTCCAAAGCGCATCATTTTTAGGGTTCCCAAATAATACAGTCTGCATTCAGCAAAGCACATGCCAACATCCTTGAACAAACCAAAACCCATCTGTCAATAAATATAACATTAGCTGGATACAGACGGTCCTTTACAAAGCATACCCTCTGTAGGAGAGCTGAACTTAGTCTCATTAACAAACGTAGACAGATCAGATGGTTGCGGGTAATCCTGCTTATCCGTGTTCAGGTCCACAGTCATGCAGGTCCATTTCTGACTGGTCACTGAAGACGCCAGTTTCTCCTCATCTGTCGCATGAACCACTGTGGATATGACAGGAGGTGTTTCTGGAGTAGGCAGTGGAGTGGGATCCTGCAGAAAATAAGTGCCAATTAATTCTATTACCTTTCGCTAACATGTTGAATAGTTAACTCTCTGAATTCCTTTGCACGACCACAGTCACTTTAATTCTGTACTCTTTGCTGCAGTTCTGTATAAAATTACTTAATGAAAAATATTAAAGTACTTCATTTAGAACTCTACTAGCAGCAAGTTTTCCCAGTACAACTAAACTCTTTGATGATAAACATTCGCATTGCAAAGCTGCTTTGATAACAAGGAAGAAAGAAAATCCAGAGCCGTTTAAATGTTAGGCACTTGACATAAGTGGCACACATCACCCACGACTGAAGTCTTTGACTACCAAAAGTGACTTTTTAGGTTTCCCTCATAGAAGCAAACCTTCGTAGGTCATGAACCATGCGAGGTCATGAACCCTTTCTTCACTTCTAGGCTGTCAAGCAGCACAAATAAAAGGGTAGGATGGATAACAGGAAGCAGAACAGCAGCATGGAAGGAGCTGTGCCACATCAAAGCAGTTAGGCCTTTGTAGGCAGAACAGCTTTTGTTAACTTCTCTTCCAAGAAAACCACCTGCTGGCAGTTTACAACAAGGCATAAAACCATCCAAGCACATGTTCCTGGTAGATCAGCCCACTTGTTTTATTTCTGTTTCCCTTCCAGCCCACCACTTTGATGCATTTAGTTTCTGACTTTCTAATCTAAAAATTCCGGGGTGGATAGTTACACTTAGTTTTTCAGACAATTGGTTGAAGATATTTATTCATATCGTCACTCCGTTGTAACACAAGACTTTCCAAAGTACATTTAGTAATTGTCTAACTGGAATTCCCAGAGCAAATACTAGATCTAATATACATTGTATACATGCTTCTAGAGACCAAAAGGTTAATATCTTAGATTATAGCCCAATGTGGCTATACTTGGACACCAATACGCTTGTATTCTTTTCAAAAACCTCTTCCATTATTAAACATACAATTCTACAATTAAATCAATCAGATTGCCCTTTTTTGCCCCTAAAAGAACACAAAATACACGCATGAAAATGAGGCAGTACTTTACCTGAGAAGGAGGATCAGACAGTGGGGATCTTTTTGGTGATTTTTTCACCCTAAATGTATCACTGAAAATAAAGTTAAAACAGTTAATATGGCAATACCAGCAAGAATCAGGTCATTTTACACTTAGCAAGAGGCAGCCACAGAAAATGCAACCTCTGTAAGCCCTTCTGCTTTAAAATCCCATCCATTAAGCAGCAGCACCACAGAGAAACATGCCACAGGTACCTATTCTTGTCATGCACTTGGAACAGGCCTCAATTCCCCAAAAGCTGAGAAAAGCAGGATTGCCATATTTTTCATGTCAACTACTGACTCGTTTACAGAACAGAGTTGCTGCTTGATTGCAATTCAAATCCTTGCTTCACCACAGACATCCTCAGTGGCCTTAAGCAAATTATTTAGCTGCTGTCTGCTTCAGTTTCCCATCTGAAAATTAGGTCTAAACCCCATCTTTACCTGAGAATTAAAACTGTGATAGACTTGGGCAGTAAGCTCCAATGACCCCATAAATCATTAAGAAAAAAACTGGCACGCTTTGGATGGACTACATAAAAACAGCCAAGGCAGATGCTGTTCCCAACGTGTCAGAAGAAAGTTCTACCGTCACAAATGTGCACAACCGACCCTTTTTAAAACAAACACAACAACAAATATGGCAATTCTGCTTCCAGGACCCCTGACGGCTCACAGCACAGACTGGGAGAACAGACACTGTAGCCCTTCAAAATCCCACAGGTTTTAATCAGGAAAAAGGAATGAAGAACATACATTATGTCTTAGTGTATAATTATGAATATTGCCTTTATGTTTATTCACAATTGGTTAAAAATATTTTCTAACCAGGAAATCTACCTGTTCTCTTGATGCGTATTGCCAGTTATTCAAACACATTTATGTTACTAACCAGAAGAGGGAGAAAAATATCACAGTAAACTCACTCATAAAGACTTAACGTTTGAACTGAGATGCAGTGGCAAAAATTACTGCCCACCAGCTCATCCCTGATCAATGATGGCAAGATCAACGCTAGAAATTATAACGGTGGGTTTCAATCAGCAGAGGGTAAATCAATATCACATCTAGAGGGCAAAATAAATTGGACAGCTGAATATTGGTGTGTTCGATGCTACTAATTATCTAGTTATGATGCTAGCAGTAATTAGGATAATTTATTCCTTTAAGAAGGAGGAACACTTTATGCAGTATTTATGAAAGACTGATTGTACAATGTTGTTGCACAATGGCAGAAATAAAACCTCCATATTTTAGCTCAAGGATACAAAATCCACAGTTTTAAAGAGGATCTTCTTTGATAGGCAAACAGATAATGAGGCAATAGATTCCCCAAACTCATTCACAGCCAGGCATCTTACTTCAAATGGCTTTCATATGTGCCAGTGAAGTCAAATAGTTAACATAAAAGCTTCATGCTGAGTAATAACTGATCATGCTGCAAAATAAATAAGTAAAATTAAAAAGCCCATAAATCAAAGAGGAAACTTGTTAGCTTAGAATTACTTACAACAGAGAACATACAGACATCACATCTTCTACCATCCTAAGACAAATAAGACAAAGAAAAGAGAGACAGACAGAAGGAACTGACAAAAAAGATAAACCTACAAATCCTCTGTTAATGTTAATGTGTTAAGGCAATCTGATCATGCATATTTTCTACCTATATAATCTTAACCTCTACTTTTTACTGTGAAACAGATAGGGAGAAAAAAGTATTCCAGTCCTTCAACGTTTTCAAATTCAATGTTATACTTTTGACACGCTTTCATCTTACAAAACACATTTCTCAAAGCTGACATCTCTGAGTTAAGTTCCTTTCAACATACGTCCTTGCCTTCCCTGATGGTAGCCACCTGCATTTTTTTCAAAACACAGTATTTGTTATTATATGGGATGTAAAACTGTTCTTCAATGGCAGCTCAGCTTAAGGAAAGAGCAGAGTTATAGAAGGTTTTTGATGTCTGCTGATTTGTTACAATAGTACAGAAAAAGCTACTTGACCGTTTCAAATCATTTATCCAAGTCAAGAAATAAAATGACATTTCTTTAAATCTCATCTATTTTGGCTCTCACTAAAACCTAACTTTGTGTTCTGACAGAACAAATGGATTGCCCCAAAACCAGAAGGAAACCTTGCCAAACAACTAAGGCTAAGAAAAGTTTTCATCTACTTATAAGCTCGGCAGCTTCTGCTCAGCTCTTCTCATGTGCAATGCTCTTGAAAGCTGGCACCTTGCATTTCTAAACAGCCTCCAATCATCCAACAGTTTCGAGGGCAATGTCTATACAAGCCACCCGTTTTTACTCATCACTATGAGCAGGCACTCGGGAGACGTCAGCTGCTCTTTGTTCAGTATCATCTGAGCAATGTGATCTATCTCAAAACAGCTCAGCACTTAGGTACACGACCACAGTAACGTGCATTCAGCTGATATCTCTTCTAAAAATCTCTCATCTTTTCACATGGATGTCAACGCTTAGCCTGCTGCAAGTTTCATTCAAGAATAAAAACTGATTATTGATTTAATGCAGGTAAGACCCAGCATATGGCACAGATTCAAAGTAGTACAAGCTTAGCAATGGCTTAAACTCACGCCTGGCTTCTTTACTTCCCATAGGTCTAATCTAGAAATTGCTGTCTTTCCATACGAGAAACACATTTTCAAGCTAGTCCATAGAGTTTTATTTCTGCACCCCTCAATAGCACTAATATAAACTCCTGGTTTTGCAAAATTGACCTTTAATGAGGTTTTAGAAGTCCTGGTTTATTACAGCATCATTTCCTAATTCAAACACCCTCCTTTCTGCCCCTTGGAGCTGAAGCATTTTGCACTAGCTTCTCTCTCCTGTCCCACCATGGAAGCATTGCCAAGGAGGGTCCTACACCCCACCTCCCTGCCCGGCCAGGGGTTCTCCTGCACTGGACCCCATGGAGGAGTCATGCCGAGGGCCCTTTTCATGGAGAAGAGAGATCAGAGACAAGCAGAGACAAATAAAGCCACTGTTTCCCCTGGCATCCCCCAACAAGCCTTAGGCTAATTTTCTTGTAGAAAGTATTATGGCTGCAGGCCACGCTGTGTATTAATATGCAGATTCTCTTTGTTAGAAACCACTTGCAAAAGTAGGTTATGGGGCCACAGCGAGCAGATACATAACACAACACAGTGAAAGCAGTCCCAAGGAAGGGCCAGGAATTCCTGTAAACCTCCTGACCTAAGAACCTGTAAGCCCTGCTCTAGGGTAGTTTCACTTCTTCCACCATGATAAAGACCAGCAGTGAACTTTGTGACTGTAGGGCAGAGCCCTCCCTTGATGGATTTTCCCAAGGACGAATGTGGTTTAGCAAACTCTTTGTAAACTCGTGTTGCCCCTAAATTAACAACTTTGGAATTCATTCTAATATTCACAGCAGATGGGTAGACCCAAGAGGTTTATACTGGGGGTCTGTCAACTCCACTGCAGCTACTGGAAGACACAAGGAGACTCTGGCTGGCTGCAAATACCAGACTTAAGGATCTGGTGATATTAAAATTCCCCTCTCCCTCCGCACTTCCCCAGTAAGATTCAAATTGTTCCTCTCGTGCAGTCAGACTTTTAAGTCTTCTTGGTTTGGATCAAACCAGTTTGGGCTGCAGGTTTGGAAAATGTGTCAGCTTAGCATTTGTCTTAATTCCCACTTTAATTTCCCCTAAATTTCAGGCATACCTCAAAAAGAAGCAACATCAGAAAAAACAAACTCCTCCCTCAATAAACAACTCAACTATACAGTGGTCTATACATTCCCAGAAGTCAGAAATGCCCCTAAAAAGCAAAAGATGCCACAAGCTTCCTCAGAAGGCAGCAGGCTGCTCAGAAAAAACTGAATAATCTCCATCTCACTCTTTAAGGGAGGTAATCTTTTGTACTGTTTTACATCAACCTTCAAATTGTCAGGCTTTTTAATATTTTTAGTCACATTTTTGTTAGCTAGCTGAAACATTTAAACCATAAAGGGACATGCACTGAGATACTTTCTTACAGATACGCACAGGATATCGATTTCAGATAAATGGGATATAAACTTACTGATTACCAACTCAAAATAACCGTGTCTGAACAGATAAAGTAACATGCACACCAGTAAGTTAACCATGGAACCAATGCAACTAGCCATCGAGGTTTTTAACCAAATATCTAAATACAACAAGCTAGAAAATTTATCCTGCAATCTGTCAACTGTGTCTAGAAGCTGGATATTTCCCTAACATGTAGCAGTCTAGGAGATTTAAACCTTTCTGCAGGATTGTAAGCTCTTTCACAGAAAGGAAATTTTTCACATTTTTTAGTCTTATATTTAAAAGAATATATTTCAATGCTGCATTCTTCTGTTTCAGATTATTTTCTTTTAAATATCACAAGTCACTGGATAAAACCATCTTCCTGCAGTGTGCAATAGGAGATTTGTCATTGCCTTACTATTTCACATCCCACTCTCAAAAACTGTGATTCATGAAATAGCCTTTACTGGTGTGAACACTTTGATCATCTTAAGGAGTATCAAATTCCCAAGATGAGGTCACAGGAAATTTGGCACAAAATTGATAAATTTTGGACTTAATCAGATTCAAAGCTACACTGACCCCCAAGATGTCAAAAATCCATTTGCCAGACCAGTGGATCAATCTGGCTTGATGTAGCTCTGCTTTTCCTCTTCAATCTGAAAACATGAAGCTATTGGGGAAACAGGCTGAGGGAGAGCATGTACAGCCCCCCAGCATGAGTCCAGTTGTGTGGCTACCAACACTCAATGTCATCTTCCTTTCCCTATTCAAATATAAACTGGGTGTAACTGTGCTAAGAGGTAAGGATGTGCTGCTTCTAATCTAGAAACATCTGTGCTCTTTAACTTACGTTTTTAGTGGCGTCTTCTTCTTTTTCGCAGGCTTATTCAAGTTGTCTCCTTCAGTTCCGTTTGTTTCGTTGGCACTGGCTGGTATCTCAAAGGAAGCCGGAGATTTAGAGGGTGAGTTGGCTATCTTAGAAGAAGAGTTGAAAGGGTCAATAGAGTCCTCACACATGTCTGGCTCAAAACTGTACGTTTGTTGAGGCAGTTTGGGCGATTCTTGCATTTTTGTACTAGATGAGAATGGGTTAAAATTGGGATCATCCCACTTGTCAATATCAAAAGTGTAAGAGCCTTTTGTGATAGGGATTTCATTTGGATCTGTGGGTGACTTGGTCGGTGTGGTTGGAGCATTGTCAAGCTTTTCCACTGGCTTTTTAGTCTTTGGCCTCCGTAGTGGCATTTTAGCACCAGGCTTTTTACTTGCTTTCTTGGGAGGCGGAGTACTCTCCTGCTGGTCTTCACTCACCCCTTTTTCTTCAGAATAATCAAACTCCAGCCTCACGGCAATGCCTTTGACCGGAGGGTCTTCTTGTCCTCCAGTGTCAGGCGGAGTCACCTCCACAGCCTCCGGTGCCGTTGTAAGAGGTAGTGTTTTCTTATTGGCAGGGGGAGAGTTTTGTACTTTGCCACCTCCGGTGCTAAATGCACTAATCCCTTCAAAACTGTCTGGATCCAAAGGGTAGGATCCTTCAGGCACAGGCGGGGCCTCCTGTTTCTCGGCAGAGATTTTAGAAGGTTCAGTACATTCGGGCTTTACTGAGTCAGCCTTTGCTTCAGATATTGTTTTATCCTCACCTGGGGCACAAGCTGTTTGGCCAAGGTCAGATGGTTCTTGTGGAGTTTCTTTCACTGGTGGAGCATCCAGAGATTTTTTTGCTGACTGCTTCTTTTTTAAGGAAGCTGGTCTGGATTTCTTTGTTCTCTTAAGGGTACTAGAAGCACTACTTGAACCAGTACCATACACATCTGCTGCCGGTGCTAATGTCTCACTGTTGCCAAGATAAGATGCTCCATCAAAATCGCTAGCTTGCAAGCTGAGAGATCGAGACAATGTAGATTTGGAAACTGGGACTGAATCAGTAGATTTTCTTCGAACATTCGCTTTGGGGTCACGATTCTTCGATTCTGGAGAGCTTGGTCCTAAGGCATGGAGAGAATCAACCAGCTCAATGTTATCAAAGTCCAAGTTGTAAGTTCCACTGCTGGCTATTGGCTTGTCCTCATCGAAGACAGTGGAAAAAGAATGGGAAGGGGGTCGGAAAGAGCTTTCTTCAGCTGATTCACTGTGTGACACATCAGTTACAGGTACACTTTCTGAAGATAATCCTGTGGGAACAAACAGAAAACTCAGCGAATTTTAAACACATTTTTAAAACTGGAGCTTCATAAATTTTACTACAATCTAATATTACTACAAGTAAATAAATAAAGGGTTAAAATCATACAAATGGACTAATCAATGATTAAAGGACATACAAACAAAAGTGACATTTCCAATATATGAACTAGATGAGGGGAAAAAAATAATTTTGTTCTCTTCTCCCCAGAAAAGGATTCAAGGCAAGTTTCACGAAAACACAGAATATGCATTTGCAATAGCCTCTAAAACATCTCTTCGAAACTAATTATCACTTAGTTAATGAGATGGATATCACTGTAACATGCTAAATATGCCAAATACCAGAAAATCTGAACATCAAGCACTTCACTACTCACATTGTCTACTATTATAAGATGAGTTCACAGAATTGTGTCAGAGCTATTATGCAGTAAACTCCCTGTAAATTGACTGGTGGTTCAGCAATTACATATTGATCTTAAGTTTTGTTTCCTATGTGCTATTTTTACCAATTTCCCAGAGGAAGATGGCTTCCTCTCCACAACCCATCAACGCTACTCCTCCCTCTGCCCCAAGCAGTCAATACACTCTACTTTGACCTCATAATTCCGAGTTTATAATCAGACATGAATCACTGAGAATTTAATATGAACTAAATTATAGAAAAGGTAAGAAAATTAGTCAGAGTACTGTACAAATATTTGCAGTTGAAAATCTTCCTTAAAAAAGACTGCTAGAAGTTCCCTACAAATTATTTAAAACAGATTTCTCAAAGTGTAGTTCTAACTCATCAATGAAAAGAAAATTTGAGAGAGAGAATTATATGCTAAAACTGTTAAACTGAGCAGCTTTTCGTTGTAATTAAAGATTTGCTTATTGAATGGAATTCTAAAAAGATTTCTAGAAGTCTCTTGACTGGGGATATAACAACTATATTGAACAAAGTAGAAACATATACAGTGTATATTGAAAAGAGAGAAAATATATAGGTAGGAACGGATTAAAGTGACAGTCCTCTCTGCTTTCCTGCTCATAAAAATTCATTACTAAAATGTTTTATAAAAATATAGTTTGTTCCTGCTGTCATTGTGCTGCTCCCTATCTCAATGTAACACGGACACCTCCATCTATGTGTGCATGTCCCAGTCAGGGTATCAGAGACCTGGGAAATCCCTCTCCATCTCATAGTTCAAGCTGGGATAAGCCAGCTGCTCGGAGCTCTCACGGATATGTACTGGAGCAAAATGTCCCCGCACTTCCTATCGAAGCAACGCAGCATTCTTCGTGTTGTTAATTTTTAAATTATGCAGCTCTAAAGAAAAACAGTCAAACAAAAATGAATGCTTTTCTCATCTTTAAATGATTTCAAAGAAATTTCTACACATCTTTTTCATCCTAATCTTGACATGGTTTGCAAAGTAATTCCCATTTTGCCCAGCTACATGCATTAACGTTGTTCATAAAAGCAATATAGAGAATCAATAATTACTTTTAGTTAGAAGTTATGAATGGATTAAGAACAGAAAAAACATTTTTTGTTTGTTTCAGAGGAAATTGTATGTCTGCATAGAGATTACAAGAACTATTATTTATGGATGTAAAGGACAGAACATATTTAAGGAAATCAGATACATTTCCCAAAGCAGTCCCTCAGAGTGACACCATGTATTTCCAGAGATTGTCAAAGGAATGGCATCTACACAGTTTCTCTTTTAAGACTGTGGAAGTTTACTAAGTTACAACAATTAAAATAATATTTTAATGTGTTTTTCCGCTAAATGAATGCTATTAACGTGGCAGTACTTCAGGACAGTTTATTTTTCTCCTCAATCTCCACTGGGTTGGGTTTGGTTTCAGCCTGGCTGAGAGGTTATTAATTAGACCTGATTTGCCAGCCGAGCTGGTGCTCACTTCACACACACACACATCACTTTCTGACACTGACGGGACTTCTGTTAAGGGGAGTCAGAGTGCCATAAAACTCCAGCATTAGACTGATCTGTATGCTTTACACTGAAACGGGAATGGAGGACACTTGATGGGAATACATTACAATAAACACTCACGTAGCTCTAATATGTCAGCAGAGTACAAATGTAGGTCAGCATGAAATAAAAGGGGGATCTGAACAAGAAGTCATCTGCAATTACGCCTTGTTTTCATTCCAGCATGTGCCAAAGGTCTCAACAGGATTGAGGTCCCTTATTCAAAGTCAGTACAAACATGTATTTAAACAAAATAAAATAAACCAAACCCAACGCCCTGCAGGACTGTAAATGACAGGCGTGGTAGAGCTGAGGTTTGGGATGCATCACAGCAGCAAAGAGAGCATACAAAGCTTTCCAGCTACTCAAAGCAAAACAGCATTCAAATTTGGTGTGCTCCACATAGTGAAGAGCTTTAATCTTCTTTAATTGCTTATTTCACAACTTCCTCCTAATCAAATCCTTTACTTAGAGTATAGGTTTCTGCAGAGTGTCACTCAACTCGCTACTGTGATATTTTTATTGTTTCTTTATGAAGCAGTACGTGAAACTGTCTCAGAAAACATGGCTTTTGGTGGAATTGAAATGCTGCCGTTACAACTCTTCGGGCATACCAACAGAATTGGCTCAGTACTAGTAACAGCAGAAATGCTAGAGAGGAAGATATGAACGGTACTCACAATCACAAAACAGCACAGCTTTATTACCACAAAGAGATATGAAGACCACTCTTCCCTGACATTAACAGCCTATTCAGAGAGAAGTGCCATTTGTCCTTTTACATCATAGAATTAAGCAAATCAGTGTTTTATTAAAATGCAATTTGATCGCAAAGGAACATCCTACAACATAAGCTATGAAAATTAAGGTAGGATTTGCCGTAGAGAGAAGCCAGGACATGGTTTTAAATAAGGTTTACGCCTTTTATTGGCGCTGACAGTCACTCACAATTTATACTAGTAAGGGCTGCCCACAGGTAGATATTAAGTTTTACAAAGCATTCCAAGAACATGAGTGTTAGCAGGGGAACTTATGTTGCCAGAGAAAACAGGCAATCCCTGAAAAAAGCCTCCTATTTCATTCATTAAAAAAGAAGGTCCAAGTTCTGCTCTTCCACAAGGAAATATCTCTGAATTCAGAGAAATTTGGCCTGGATTGGGTATGAAAAACAAAACAATCCCCAAACCAAAACCAACAACAAAACCCCCCCGAATTCTTGTGATGAGACCTCTAAATGAGAGCTCCATGACATGTTTAATGCTTGGCATTTTCACCTGTCACCTATTATGGCAGAAGCAAAAGTTGCTAGAAAGATATTATAAGATTGTTTGCATTAATAAAAACCCAAAATTTCTGTTGTTAGTATCGACTTGCTGTAGGTGACCCTGCTTTGGACTGGATGATCTCCAGAGGGCCCTCCCAACCCCAACCATTCTGTGATTCTGTGAAAAAGGAATCAAACAAATAAAAAAAAAGTTTCTAGTCAACTACAGAAAACTTTTTTTTGCACGTTACAAAATATTAAGATTTTGATGGCACTTCAGATGCCAGTAACGCTTCAATGTCCCACAAGAACAGTGAGGTAGACACATACCCCACTTAACTCAGCCAGCTTTACATAAAGATCCATAACTGATCTGAACAGTAACAAATCCCACGCATGTCATCCGAACTGTCCACTGATAAGGTTATCAAATTTTCATTAAATTGCTACCACTGCTTTATATTGAATATGAAAGGATAGCAGGCATTCATAGGTTTAGATCAAGATGGGTATTAAGGTTTACATCTTTTTACAGCCTTGGGAAAGAAATGCAGAAACTCGGTGGTAGTAGTTGCACAAGGAGCTACAGAAGTAGTCAAGGCAAAGGCAGATGTGTTTCATTTTGATGCAGTATCACCGATCTCTTCCTCACCTGCGGAGCTCTCTGTGCCTCGCCCCCGCCAAGCACTGCGGTACCAGCGGGACAGGATGCGGCACCCTAGGGTATCCCACACCCCAGCGCAGGTAGTGTGCTCTCCCGGGATGTGTTCACAAAATGAAACATTTCCAAAAACTTTAGAACTTCAGATTTGTTTTAAAGATATTTTAAAGAAGAAAATGAAGTATCTGCACTAGCTATGAGCTTGTGGAATCTAAATCTGAACAATTTCTTTATAAATAATGAAATATATTAAGGGGTTAGAACATATAAAGTACTCCTAGCTATTTTAAAATATTTTTCTCTTTAGATTATAATAAATTCTTCTACTGGTGGAGCTGCACTGTGCACTAGGACAGTTGAGCATTTTGTTCTTTGTTGAAGTATCTGTAAAACACAGGGAAACCCAATAGGCTGAAAATAGGCCTTAACACTGCTGAGCTGGAAACAAAATGAAACACTATTTTGAAAGGCTTAGAAACAAAATTTAACCAGATCTAATAAAGCAAATACAGAAGAAATTAAATTTTAGTCCTGTTTTCTAGAGAAAAGCAAACAAAGACAAACCCTTGGAAAATGCTTACAGCATGCACCCACATACTCTGTTATAAGGAAACAACTCAGGAGAAAAGTACACTTCGCCAAAAGCATACTGGAATTGGAATTACCTAATACTAGAAATTTTGAAACACAGTTTATTTCAAGTTCCTGCTTGTTATGAGAAGCTTTTGAAGTTAGGAAATCAATTAGTAGCTCTTTTTAAAAAAAAAATCTGTAAAAATATTTTTGTCATTTATTCTGAGAGAAAACTTTGTATATAAAGTTTATTTTTCTGTGTCAGGCTTCAATACGAAAAACACTTAAGAAGAATGTTTTCCATACCAAAAAACTAGATTTGTTTTTGTCTGGATCATCATCTGTCTACTGGAAAGCCTGACCTCAATTTCCCTGGCACAAGAAGGACCTGAATATAGGTCTCCTATACCCTGATCAGTGGGCTGCAATGCACAGAGGGAACTCCAACTCTTACATCTCCCCTGCGTATATAATCTGAATTCATTAATTAATGGGGCACTTTCTGGTGCTCAGATGGCTGGAACAAGGGACAAGAGGACACTGCTATAAGAAGCTGATGAGACAGGCAACAATGATTTAAAATACTACCAAAACAATAATAATAAAAAATATAACAAAAAGCACCCTTAAAGTCATTAGCCTCAAGAGTATAACGCACATTCCCCACAAAACCTGAAGTATTTACAGAGGAATGGAAGGGCTCATTAGTGACGCTTTCTGGGGTTCAGAGGTAGTTTCCATACGTGCTCTGTTACTCCTCTTCCCCTCCAGACTCGCCCGCAGACTGACTTGCCTCTTTTGCTCCACTGCTGATGGACTGGAGCCATGCAGCAGGTTTTTCCCCATCAGGAGCTGGCACAAACCCAGGATGAGTCTAGCTGTATTTCACTTTCATCATATTTATTAAGCTAGTGTTGAAGTCAACCTAATTAAAAACTCTCCTCTTGGCTTTCCAGCAGTGGGGTCCAGCTGTTGCACTAACGATATCATGCAGCACAACTGCGGCCGTCTGCATAAGCAATTATTGTCAGATATAGATGAAATAAACCTTTAAACACTTACTATGCTTCCTCCTTCCACCCAAACACACGCTCCGTCACCAACCTCCTGTAGGAGACAAAGCCATGCAGCTGGTGAACCAGAAACCCAGCTGGACATCGCTGCCTCTCCCTGTGTGTGCGCCAGGCTCTCCAGCTGCCCGTATTCCTTACTCCTCTTTTACTGAAACCTATTTATTTAGCTGTATGGTACCAACGAGGAACTCTGCTTCAACCGCCCATAACCCCTGAGGAAGGGACTCATTGTCTTTGTGTGCAGGCACATGCATAACCTATGAGGTAAGTAAACTACAAGACAACCGTTACTTAAGCGGTTTATAAAGTACAAAACACTTAACTGTTCGTATTTCTGAAGAAGCACACAAACACCTAAGCTATGGTCTCAGTATTATTAATTTCTTCTAAAGATTTCCAAAACAAACGAATGCTTTGTGTTGCCCTCCTACATTTGAATTTTTTCTGCATTACACATCTTCTTTCCCTCACATAAATTACCCTGTTGTATAACTTCATTTTGCATAATATTGGAATGCTGAATGTAGCTCTGTAAGTTTGTGGTAACTTGCCTCTCATAGACAAATCTTATTTGCACATGAAACTAATCTCTGCCATCCAACGGCCTTCAATATAGTTCACACTGGCTGTGAACAGACAAATTCAGTTTCCTACCTTCAGAAACATTTAAAAGAAAGGAGGAGCATATCTGGGATGTAGGAAGAAAAGAATCACATGTGCCAGGGAAACACATGTCTAATCAAGGGTTTGAAGATAATCTACTGCAGTAATTAAAAACACACTCCAATCCTGTTTAGCATATGCGTTCTTTTGTCCTCTCAGCACTTATTTTGTAATCCTTAGATTGCAAAAGATTAGAAAAAGGAAAGAAGACGGAGAATGAGTAATGTTGTTTGCTACAATGAAGAGGGAACGGTAACAGCAGAAAGGAAAAACTGTCAGGATGTCTCAGTATTTCATTTGTATTTTGTAGAATCAGTTTGTTGAACATCTTCCTAGCTTCTTATAAGCTTGTATCATAAATCGTGATCTTAAAGAACATTCCTTAATGCATAACTCCCAAGAACGCTTTAGGTGGCTCAAGACATTTGCAAGACTTATTTGTCACTTTCCTGAAGGTTTAAATCAAAGCTGGACAGCCTTTATAATACACACACCAGCCTTGGACAATGCTTTGACTGCTGCTAAACACAGTCTCTTCTAAAGTGGAAATGGAAGCTTTAAACCACTGCCTGGCAATGCTATACATCTTTCCAGATGAAATACAAGTGAGCTTTAGTCTGCTGAGAGTAAAATTACCTTTACACAATTTAGCCAGGTGATCAAGATGACTTGACTTTCAGATGGGAAAAAAGACAGCATAATGGGGAATTCAATCTTAAACTGTTGAGCTGTCATCTGACAGCCCAAACAAAGCTATTTTGGGCTAATAAGAGTGCTTTCTACTCCCTCATATTCCATTACTCAGTTTGGAGAACAAAGAACACTTTTTTGAGGGAAAGGATTCCTTTGGTTTTTTTAACATGGTATTTCCTTTTTAAAGGTTATCTTCCCTTTAAATTACCAATTTTTATGTATGTATATTATACATACATTCATACATACTCCCATGTTCCTCCTATAAAGCTAATATCAGTATTTCTATTGTTCTAATGGGTCTTTTGTTCACCTTCTGTTTCAGGTGACAATACATTTGAAAATAACATTTTGCTAATTGTCACAGTTAACAGTGCTCACCCAGGTACCTGCATCTGTATCTCATACCTCCTTCTTCTACTCATCTGAGTCTGTAAAGATTCTACAGAATGAAGTTTGAATCAAAAGGAAGAAAGGTTTCTTTACAAAGCTCCTCTTTCCTTTAATATTTGTCAAATGTTATGGACAGATTCTCCAATACTTTATTCCAGGAGGCAAGAGGCTCTTTCCTCCCAGCATGGATAACGCCCAACATACACTAACTAATCTTCCAGAAAACATTTTATTAGCATCAGTTCCTTGCCTGTGCTTGCAACAACACCTCCCTGCAGCTTCTCCTTCCTCAGTAACCTGTCCCACCCATTACATGCTTGTTACCTGTGTCTTCCAAGGGCAGCTGGGGTTTTATTTCTTGTTCTGCTATGTCTGCTGCAACTGCTGCTGCTGACGCCGCTTCAGGGGGTGGCTGTGGAGGTGAAGGTGGTGCCTTTACCGGTGTAGTGGACTCCGGGGTCTCAAATGCTTCTTCAGAGTCAGAGCTCCTGGTGAAAATCAAACCAGAGACTAGTGAGCAGAGTGAAGATTCATGTTTCCAGGTCATAGTTGGAAATGCAGGGCTTTCTGAGCTGATGGCATAGACCTCAGCTATCAGGCTACCTCTACATTTCCCAAAGGAGATTTTACATTGTACTATGGTTTCCAGAGCAAATTATCATGTCTAGGGTCTTCTCCATATATAAGTATTTATGTCACTTAAGACTTCTTTGTGTTACAAAAGTGAACACACACTTGGAAATAAACCCATCTTGCAAAGCCTGCTTTCCAGTGTGAAGGTGGCTCAATCACACAGACACCACCACCAACACTCCCGTGTCAGTCTCTCAAACTCTCCTTGGCACAAGTGTACCTAAATCAACTAAAAAAAAAAACAAAACAACAAAAAAAAGCATCTTCTCAAGAGAACTTCATAGCTTCACCAAAAACCCCACCTAAAATAGTATCAAATTTCTCTGTGTGGTCCTACCGGTGAGAAAGCAGACTCAGAGATACCTGAGGTACAGCAAATCCTTGTGCATCCTGCTCCCATGGAAATACTACATCCTATTTTTAGCACAATTTTATCGTAGCCCTTTTCAAATAGTAAGCGTATGGCTTTGTTACACCAGGTAAGACAACCTGTAAAATGAACGGAGTCCTGGTATTATCAATTATCCTTTTGTAGCACCATGTGCTCACAGAGACACAAAAACCATAGGAACCACAACGGGTTGGTGCCAGCCCAGCAAGGAAACAGCAGCACCCAAAACGGAGCCATTCAAATGAAATGCAAGCTTGAAAGGCAACATCATACAACGACACACCATTTGCTCTTACAGCCTTAGGAAACTGTCCTTCTAGATCTGAAAACTATAGATCTTATTTGTTTTTAAACCAAACTGAGACCAAATTTTAGCTTTTAAACATTTCTTCTGGAAGCCTTTTTTTGGGAGCAAGGAATGCAGTTAACAATGATGTCATATTCAGTATGCACTGAACATATGCTCAATGTACGTTCAACAGGCATTTCTGTTGGTCCGATGCAGATTTTTACTGCTGGTCTGTAATAAAGTGAATTGAATATGACAGTTTCCTAAAGGACAGGACTGATTTGCCTGTTTCCAGCAATTCTGTGCGTGGCTGTAGTCTCCACTGCTGCTCCCGGCTGTCCACACCCTGCACGCCAGTGCAACAGGGACAAAATTTGCCATGAAATGAAAAGCTATTTCATCCCCCAGAAGCACTCTACAAGCCATCCTGAATCAAGGACTCTTCTTATTTTGTTCAAGTTAAAAGATATCTCTGAGCTGCCAGATTCTGCTTGGTTTCTTGAAGCTCATGATTATTTTAAGCAGCTCGATGTCAGGAGAAGTACAAGTACAGGATTTGCATTCGATTACATTTGCCTAAATCTATCGCAGCATGAAGCCTTCTGCGAGCTGGGGAAGAAAAGACGTCGGTGTCACCCCTGACAGCTTGAGGAACACAGCGGACCCGATTCTCCCTGGCTGCCTCCGCAGAATCCCAATGAGAGCTCCCACCTCCTTGCATGCCTTCAGGGCACAGGCCATGGCCTGACACCAACCCCTGTCTCTGTCTCATCACCTCTACTCCTGTGCAAAGCAAAAGGATTTCTACTAGCTAACACCTTTGGATGTTTGCCTTACTTGTGGATCTCTGGAGATTTTTTTTCCCTCCCAAACCTATGTCACTGCCTGGGAAGCTGCTCAAAAATAGTGTGCCTAGCTTTCGATCGTATCTATTGCCGCAGCTCCTCAAAATGCCTTCTTTGTGTCATTGCTTAAACCATACTCATTCATCAGGCCACGGAACGGCCAAATTGGAAGAGGTAAGCTGCAGCATTTTAAACTACATGCCTTCAAAGATGCACCATGTTTTAAGTTCAAAATATTTTAATTTTAAGAACAGCTGCAAAGAGCTTCTGTAAATAAAGTTGCACAATAGGTATTCAACAAAACAACGCTTTCTCCTCCTTCCACAGAGCTGGTTCAGGAAATTCTTAAGTTGAAGAATCAAAGAGAAACAGAGTTGTGAGATATTTTCCCAGTAGAGAAATGTTTCTTGTGTCATAAAAATAAACCTAGATAGTTATCATCTAAACCGACAAAATGAAAGGTAATTCATCTCTCTCAGGCTTTCACATAATTCTCATTGTGCTGTATTTAATTAATGTTTTACTCTCTTAATTTTGAACTCAAAGTGTTGCTCTGTAATGCCAAAACAATAACGTTCAGACTCCTTTTTCCCAAACTGTCTGAATAGCACCTGTAACATATACAGTAAATACACAGATACATGTAATATAACTGAAACAGGAAAAAAAATCTCTGGTTTTGTGTCCTACTCATATTTGTAACTGCTTTGTTAAATTGGTTTGATGGAGCAGTTCTGCGTCCTCCTTTATTTAAATGATGTAAAGACTGTGATGTTCTAAACGAGTTAGCTTTGTTTACTTGGTCTTTTCCTCGGATGAGGTGGGCATAAGCATTTGAAGTAAAGAGAAATGTCTGTTCTTTTTTTATTCACTGTATGAGCTTCCATTCTGGAGAACATCCCAAGTCTGTGGACAAGACAGTTGTGGTGCCTGAGCTCCAGCACAAGGCTTTGTTTTGCTAATATTTAGCAACTGCCAAAAGATTCTGATGCAATGCTCCTAACTTTCAGCTGTGCCCCTCCATAAGCAGCAGTATAATTAAGTAAGAACTGTCTTAACCGTAACCCAAATGTTGCTGAGTTTGTTATGAGAAGCAATTATGCTGGCAAAATACAGTATTTAACAAAGAAATATGTAGGGACGCTCAATACCAGAAAAACGTTGCTCGTCATAGCCTGGGATCTCGGAGAAAGCATCAAGCCTGGAAGCATGTACCAGGACTATGCTCCAAGGTCTACATTACATATATCCTGGAAAAATTAGATCCTGTGTTCAGTTTTTCTTAGTGAAAATACAGAAGATCTCTCTTGCGTAGAATATGTCTTGAGACTACAGCCCTACTTTCAGACTGTAAGAAAAGATTTTCCCAGAACAACAGGATTTCCTGTGAAAAGGAAATTACACATTTCAGCCAGTTCTATTCATAATGTCTTTTCTCTGAGAAATACGGGGAATACATAGAACAAAAAAAATAATGCTGCTGTAAAGTTTGCGGTGTAAAACAGATTGCCAAATTGTGATAGGCCGTGAGAATCGGCACCAATTCAAAGCTGCACAAGGAGCAGCCACCACGGATCCAGCTGTGGGCAGGCTCTCACGAAAGGAAGAGCCCTTGTGTCATCTACAATATTATTCTGAAGCTCCAGCCAAGGATGAAGCAGGATGAAGTGGGACATATGGGTTATAGAGATGGAGAACTAACTCATTTGCTGGCCTCAGCTCGTAACGTTGTGGAGATGGGGTGTACATGTGCAGAGTCTGGGTCTGCAGGACTAGTTTGTGGAGCAGTGATGAAGTAAAAGCTACAGAAAGGAACATACATTCATGCATCTGTTTAGCCAGCTTGGGAAATTAGCGGGAGCTTGCCTTTATAACATAATGTCATATCTTTTCATCTGTATCCTTTGGATTTTGTAGATAACAGGCAAAAAATTTATAGATTGTAGAAGCTACAAAATGATTAGGTGAGAGTAATAGAGTACAAAATTACTAGAAATATTCTTTCAGTTAATCTCTTTCATCTTCCTCCTTGAAAGATAGCCATTAAACCGTAAATATAACACACACAGATGGGGTTGAGAAGCAGAGAGAACCAAGAAATGCAAGAATCATACCAGACCAATACACATCTGGCAACGCTGCATCAACTTGTGGAGCATTCCCACTCTCATCTGGAAACTCGGAGGTCTTGACTAGCCTGTTACATAAATCTCCAGAGGAAATACTGAAAGGACTCATGAGGGTTGACTTCTCTTCTTCACCTTCGGCCTTGCGGAAATCCAGCCTCCTAAGTTACATTACCTTTTTTTGTAAACCACAGATGCTTATAATTTTAAGTCCTTCCCAATTTCAGAATGAAAAATTGCCTTTTTGTCACTGTAGCTGGAAAGCACTCAGTAAGCAAGAAGGAGATTTCTTCATTCCACTGCCTTGCCTCACTATTTGTCCTCTTCAGGCATGACAGCCACTGAAGTGAGGTCATCCCAGTTGTCACTTGGAAACTCGATTCATTAAAAAGTAGTTTGCAACAGAGCTGTGACCTTCAGCCGCTTCAGGAATCCTGCCATCTGTCTCAGGTTCTTCTAATATTTACACTGCAGTAGTATAACCAATGCAAGTGTGCACTCTGGTTTTATTTCACAGGAATGAAAGGGATGTGTGATATATAAAAGAAACTTAAAAGCAGGGCTTTGACACAAGGACTGAGGTCAGCAGCATCACTTCCTATGGAGGAGCACACGGGAGCAAATCTGGAACCGGTATGTGCCGAGGGAGCTCCACGGGGTTTTGTAGAGTTACTTCACTTAAGGTCAAATCTATGTAGAATTTTTATTTAGCATGTAGCCTGCTTCAGAAAAAAATAAAACCATACTTAACGACTTTATGGAGCACTGATCTATTGGTGTGTAATACAGACAGTCTGGAGAGGAATGGGTGTGTGATATTTTGAAGTTTTGAAGCCAGGAGCTGGAGCTGCATTATCGAGAAGTGCTGCTGTGCTGGGAGTGGGGAGAGGGGGATGGAGCCAAAGGAGCCGCTCTCCACAAGCCCGGGTTGTGGAATCACAAGTAACAACATCAACACCGGCTTCAGGGGGATCTGCTCCATCAGAGCGAAGGTGAACAGCCTCTGTCCACCTGTATTTAAATTTGTATATTTTCTTCCAAACTTTGGACTTAGGAAAAAGTATGTTAAATTTGCCTTATTAGTGGAACATGTCCCAGATTAACTGAGGTCTCTCATACCTGTCAGCAGTATCACTGATGCCCAGCTAGTACTCCATATACTCATCCTTCTTGCTGGCACTCTAAAACATCTATCCACCTCTATCCGTTTTGTCTTTACGTACCTTTGTTTCATTGACATCAGACCACAGGTGACAATTTCATTCTCATGGTGTATTTGGACATAGGACATATCGGGAGGAAAAAAGTCAGGTAATCTTACAACATGCACACAAAACCAACAAAAACAATTACCACCCAAGAGTGCTTGGAGGATAATGAAACACAAGGAAGGACTTTATTGGTGAGCTGCTGTTTACAGATTGCCCTCTAATTGTAGTGTGGGGCACCTTTGGAAACGTACAGAGAAACTGAGGACTGTCTTGGATGATAAGCAGTTCCTACCCGATCAGTTTTAACTGGCAATAGCTACTGAAGTCTTTTCCTGAGATACAGCTGTGCTCCCTGAGGGGGAGGAGACAGAAATGGATATTTTGTCTTTTTTTTTCCATCTCATCTTTAGATCCACATGTTCTTTACAACTGGTTAGAGCTGCAGTTCAAGGGGAAAACTGCTGCCCAAGTACACGCCTCACCTCCACGCCACATAAAACCACACTAGAGTTATCCACAGAGCTGTTTCCCTGGGCCTTAAGAATCAAATGACAAATAAGAGCACGCAAGGCACATTCATCTGTTACCAGAAGGACATCATGCAATGCTCGGTTCCCATACTGAGCCCAAAGCCGTACGATGGGAGGACCCAAACGAGCCAACACTGCGGTGCTGACACATAAGCACTACTTGCGGTAGCACCTAAAGGCAACACACAGATTCCATCAGACCTGGCCCTCCAAAGCATCTGTAGCTGTTATATCATAAAGTATAAATTTCACATAAGTATTTACTGAACAATTTCTCACACACGTGAGAGGAATCTAAATCAGGAAAAAAAAAAAAAAGCACCGTCTTACAATGTTCAGTTTAGTACTAAAGATGAAATCTGGTTTTCATTCTCGTAAATCCCATTGGGGGATGAGCTGGAGAGAAAAAGGAGGAATAAGTTCTGTAGTCTCACCTCCATCGATCATTTTCGGAGATGAACCTCATAAAACCTGCATGAATAATTCACGTCTGGTTTACTGATGAGATCAGAACCAAGGATGCAGCACTGGCTGTATACTTCTGAGGTCAATCTGTTCTGCATGTTACTTAAGCAGGCACACATACAGCAGTGGTAAGAGCCACACAGGCTGACAGATTTGAAAAGACACTCAGTAACTTTAGGCTTTGGAGTTTCCAAAGCCAGAGAGGCAAGGCACTCAGAGACACATGTGAATTTCCATCAAAGCTCTTTCACTGTAAACAGTCTGAGAAAACCTTTTCAGATTTCCTGGTGTCGTTTTCAACGGTTAAACTGATTTTTCCATATATTTCTTAAATAACAACAAAAAAAAAAGAGAACACCAAGGCAGGATGTTTCAGCAATCCATCTCTCCAGACAAAGATCAGTCCTGCTCTCAACTCTGCCACTGAACTGCTGCACATAGATGGTCTTGGTCAGTTCACTTCTGCATCTGCCTCAGGTCTGCCTTATCCACTCAGGCTGGGATCTCTTAGCAGCAAGAACAGCTTCTTGCTGTGGATGTATGC